CAGGTGTGCAAACAGCCTAACCTTTGCATCACTTTAAACTGCTTTGTCAGTCAAGGATGAAAATAGAAAAGCTCAACAGAGCAATTGCCTTTTATTCCTACTTTGCACAAAGCTTGTGCATTGTTTGAGCATTGTCCCAACCCTCTGCTGACCCAAAAACCAAGATGCAGCAGCAGCCTTCCTTTATCTCCAGTAGTTTGCACAGCCCTACCAGTGACAACTTTAAAGCATTGATTTGCATTTCTATTTTCTCTTGCCAGTCAATGTCAGGTGCCACGCTGTGCCTATAAAAGCTAATTACACCTGTTTGTTAAATTGCCTCATTCCTAAAATATGCCATGAAGTAATATATAATGCTAATTACTAAGAGGCTGGAAAGGAAATGAATGTGTATAAAGTGTAATTAATTTCCTGTATAATTTACAATATAAATGGACAATACCGCATATATGTAATTAATTTCAAGAAACATTAAAAATGGAATTTACCTATACATCATGGGTGAAGATATCCACAAAATATGAGCCGATGGGGGAGATGCAATACACATTTCTCCCAGTGTATTAATTTCACACCTCTGCATTATGATGAGTAGTGCATTAGTGCAGAGGCCCCAACTATACTCAGAGTCTTAACATGACCAATGCAGATAAAAAAGCCCTATACTTCACCAAGTAAGAAAGAGCTTCAGCCCCAGAAAGTTTACAATCAAGGCCCTAATTCTTAAAGATTTACTCGCATGCTTAACTTCATGCCCTGGAAATGGTTATTCTCATTGGAGTCACAGTGCATGGCATTAAGCGTGTATGTGCTGATGTCTTTGCAGGATCAAAGGGAAAAAGAAAGTATCCCCATTTTATTCCAGTGGAACTGATAAACAGAGATTATGTCCCCACCTCAGCAAGGTACATAAGCACATGCCAAACCATAAGTATCCAAGTCACCCTATAGAAGGAGGTGTTTACAGTTAGCACCTTACCAAGTCAAGATGCCTTGCCTGTCATTCAGGAACCTTGTGGCAGGGCTAGTAACTGAATACAAATATCCTGAGGGGGACTGAGGGGCCAATCTGCCACCCTGACCCCTTAGCCCGGCAAGTCTGCTGCTTCCCAGGGGCCCGCATCCGGGACATTACGGAGAGGATCCCAAAGCTCCTTAAACCCACAGACCACTATCCCATGCTCCTTATTCATGTGGGCACCAATGACACTGCTCGGAGCACTCCCAGCCAGGTCATGAGGCGCTACAGGGATTTGGGAGCGGGGCTTAAGGGTCTGGGGGCACAGGTAGTATTCTCGTCGATCCTCCCAGTCTCAGGCTATGGGCTGAGAAGGGACAGGAGGATCTATGTGGTCAACCAAAGACTGCAGCGCTGGTGTCGTCAGGAAGGCTTTGGCTTTCATGACCACAGCCCGCTCTTTGGCGAGAGAGGCAGCGAGCTCCTGGGAAGGGATGGCCTCCACCTCTCTCCCCTAGGGAGGAGGCTCTTCTCAGCCAGACGGGCTGACCTGCTCCACCGGGCTTTAAACTAAGCCCGCTGGGGGACGGGGG